AAAATGGGTGTCTCCAAACACAACTAAAAAATTACATTAAACTGACAGAAACTAAAGAGAAACGTAGTTTTACATAAGAATTGCCTACTGTAAAGAAAATTTCATTTTTTTGGCTCAGGAAAGACATTTTAATTACATGGGGAAAATGATATGAAGTTGTTACTAAGAGCTAAGTGAGGAGGCAGGTTCTTGGATCAGAATTGGCGTGACTTTAGGATTTTGTCAGGGTACGTGTTCAGCGTTCCTGTGTGTCAGAACTGGCAAGTCATGCTGAATGTAACATTTATCTCCTCCCTGCAATTCCGTGTGGATCTGAGATTTCACTGGAGGGTGACACCAAGCTAATGAGGCAGCCTCTGATACCTGCTCAAACTTCTCCTTCCCAAACTGCTCAGCCCTCTGGGAAAATCGTAGAATCATAAAATATTCTGAGCTGGAATGGACCCGCAAAGATCATTGAGTCCAAGTCCTGGCCCTGCACAGGACAGCCCCAAGAATCACACCATTGTGCCTGAGAACATTGTCTAAACGCTTCCAAGACGTAATTCAATTCTGAATTGCTGTAGGGAACAGAGTGATGACGTTCCCCAATGAGAAAAGTGATACTGGGGGAAAAAGGGGGGAAGTTATRTGAACTCTGAGGTCAGGGCTGGTGGCAGGACCAGGACAGCTGATGCCAGCAACCACCTCAGAAAAATCCCAGAGCCACCTTGGGACACAGAAGTACAAATTCATCTCCTTTTCAGATGCATGAAACAGTTTTGTTGAGGGTGAAGTCATAAGTTTGTGGAGCTGTTCCTTTCCCCCTCTGTCCTGAGTTGTGTCTACAGCACCGAGAAAGTGGAAAGGGAAGGGGTAGGGGGGTGACAGGCAGAGAAGGAGCCTCCAGCAAGGAGGTGTCAAAATTCAGCAGCTTCTGAGCATCCAGCTGGCCTTGGGAGCTGTGACAAGACCACAGACTCCGAGATAAGCCCGGACTGGCTTCTCCTCGCTCTGGAACCCTCAGCCAAATGATAAACACGAGTGGGTCATTGCTGCCCAGTCCTGCATGGACTCTCACAGCACCTTCATTCCACAGTGCCACTCCCAGCACACCCTCCCCTCCCAGACACCCTCAGGAGCTGGGCTCCTTGCATGACAGCTTCCACATTTCGTGTTTCAAAGGCAAACAGGGATGAGCAGTGGGGCAGTGGGCACCAGCAATCCCAACTGAAACCCCAGATTCCGGCAGCACAGACAAACCCATCTCCTGTTTGACATGCCCAGCTGAGCCAGCCAAGGACAGCGAGGTGAACAGCCCTCCTGTGACTTCTTCCTGAGTGGAGTGTGTGAGGAAGTGGAAAACACCACAGAAGAGTCAGACCAGCCTTATCAGACAGGGCAGGACTGCCATGAATCAAGAGCCTGCAAGGAAGATCAGAGACAARAGTTTCTCTTTGTGCCTCACTTCGTATCCTCTTGAAGAGTCTTTGTTGCTCAACAGTTTGTACATCCATTTATTTAATTTTTTCCCACAGCTGTCAAACCACATTGATTTTCAGTCACTTTAACCTGGGCAGGATCAGCAAACCTGGTCCCCCAGGTGAAAAGCCAGGCCTGCAAGGAAACGACTCAAGTCGGCTGAATTATCTGATTCTTCTCAGACACAAAGAATTTGTTTGCTTTGCTTATGGGAGCCGAGGGAGGGGTGGCACAGAAGGCTAAATCCTCAACATCCCCCTGGTCYACTCCACGCTCCGCTGTCGATACAGGCAGAAGCAGTTCTTTTCAGAAAAGTACCTCTATGGAGCAAACTCGTGTCTGAATTACGTCTCAGCCCTAGGGAAGATGGTTTTCYTCAGTTCCCCTTCAAGGTCAGTTGTGGGGTAACATGTGTTATTCGTCTCTCAGTCTTGCTAACAGAAAATCTGACTGAGCGACATGTGGAAGCTGGGAAATGAAAATAAACAAAATGAATAAACACATTTAAAGGGCTTGGGGGGAGATTGAATCCTGACCTGCGTGTAACATCCTTACCAACGGGACAATGCTGAACGAAATTTGGGATTTGCATCTTGATGGGTATGGTAAATTTGAACTCTACATGACTCCAGTGCATCTGCTAAGCAAATAGAGACACTTTTGTTGCAGATGTATGGTTCAGAGTTAGTGGAAGCTTTGGGAACCAACAACCTCATTTCATTCGTGTATAGCCTTTTTTGGGGGGTCTTTTGCTCAGACTTTCCTTTTAATAATTAATATGGAGCAAGGTCTTGAGGAGGAATTAGTATGTTTAAATGGTGTTTCAGRCTTTCTTTAGATGATGAACTTGTGCAGGCTCTGTGCTCCCAGCTCTGCCTCTCCTCACTCTCCAGCCACACTTTGGTCCTTGCCCAGAGATGGTCAAGCACACAATGGAGCCCACCCTGAGCCCCGAGGAGGGGAGATGCAGCCTTGAGATCCCAGCTGGAGCTTCCTCCTCAATGATTCCTGTCCAGGACAGCGTGGGCACGAGCTCCAGAGCAGCCTCGGTTATTCCTGCTGYGGATCTGCCCTTCGTCAGCACAGCCTGGGGACACTCAGCCAAACCCAGATGGTTGTCTCAGGTACCCAGCACCTTCAAATGGCTCACGTCATCCGTGCTGTGTGCCAGCATCTGGGTTCTTTCAGCTGAAAGGGCTGAACATTCCACCCATTCAGGGCTGTTCTGCCCCACATGCAGCAGCTGAACCAGAGCCCACAGCAGCACTGCAGCCCCRCTCATCTGTACAGTCGTGTTTGCCATTCCAGCCTTGGTAAAGAGTTCCCTCACGGGCTCACCAGTGCTTCAGCACACCCACTTCTTTCCTAAGATCTGGCTAAAGATCAGAGCAGTTTGGTTATAATAGCATTTGGCAGCAAAAGTCTACCAAGAAACCTGGCCTGAGCAGCTGAAAGAGGAGCAGCGAAGCGAAGTACAAGAGATGATTAAAAGAGACTCCAGAAGGAAATTTCTGGGCATCCCTTGCAACCACCACATCCTTGGATTTCTATTTTTGCCTCATTCCTCTGTGCAACACTTTTGTTTTTATTCTTCCTTTCCCTTTTTTTCTTGTCATTAGCCGGGGAGAGAGATGAACTGTGAATTCAGGTTACGAGCATCTGCCCSAGCCTGTGCGTGTGTGCAGGCACGTGGGCACGGCAGCACTGCCAAGGAGAAGAGTGGAGCCAGGCTGGTGAACAGAAGTAAAAGTGAGGCTACTGTGGTACAGGGGAGTGGGTGAAAAAGTAGAAAAGTTATCACACCAGTTTCTCTTAGCCAGCTGGCACAGCTGCTTTGCTTGTGAAAGCTTAGATGTTTTCAGTGCAGTGTATTTCTGAGGTATTGCAACTAAATTAAATCATAGAACATTGTACAAAAAGGTATTTTAGCAATTGTACAGAAAGGTATTTTAACAATTTCAATTCCACTGATGCTGGAACTGAAGAGCTTTCGAGCTGGAAGCAAAACCTAAAGCCTTTGCTTTGATAATTCGTGTAACAGCATGAGACAGGCCTGGGCTTCCCCRGAGGTGGAGGATACTGATGTCAAATCTAGGATGAGGAACGCTTCTTCAGGAAGTCCTRAAGGACTGATCACTGTTCCAGGCTTCCTGATGGACAAGATTTTGTTTCTGAAGATCCCGTGGCTACGGATGTGCTCCCTGAAAAGCAGGTTTTGCAGCGCAYCTTGCATCACAGGGCCAGGTCCTGGCCCTACATCAAAGCCCCATGAGTCGCAGCAGACATCAAGATGTGCTGCCTGCTCTGATCTGTGCCCACGCCAGGCAGGGTAAAACCACACCTCACACCACCCTGGTGATGCCAGCGGCATCCCAGGAAACAGCCCTGGTTCCTGCTAACAGAAAGCTCAGCCATCAGCCCAAGCTGGAAGGCAAATCAGGCGGGTTTTCCACCAAATTGTTTCTGTGCTTTGTAGGACTGGCCTGCTGCAGCATATTCACGTGGAATTCATTAGCACATCCCTTCTGCTAATCCTCACTGGGTTTAACACAACAGTATACATTGATTTTTCCTGGCCTCCGAGGAGAGCTGTGTCAAGTCAGAAGCATGTGCTTTGGGACAGGCTGAACCCAGGAACCTCRGCCCTTGAGAGATTAGAGAAATCAGGGCTTTGAAGGCTCACTTGGAGGTTCAGGTGGAGTGAACCAGTGTTATGACTCAAAGGAAAAATTCTGCCTCTTGAGACCCTTCACCTTTGCCATATCCTACTTCAAATACCAGGATCCACCACTGTTATCCCAAAGAGACTGTTAGGCAGATTCAATAGTCAGAACCAAACCACAAAAAATACAGAGCAGGATTCGGATTTAAAGGCACCCCCTCACACACATTGACAAAAAATGGTTTTAAAGTTCACCAAACAGGGCATCCACCCCCACCAGCATCCCATGAATCCCCAAGAACTGGGAGGTGGCTCTGCAAGTTTACTGCTGACAGTCTCAGCAGTTGAAGGAGAAAAAGATTCCCCTTCTTCTGCCAGCTGGGAAAATGAGCCCCATCCAAACGGCTTGGCTCCACAGCAGCCACCTAATGATTGCCAGGCTTAGCTGAACATCTTTATCCCTCTAAACACCATATGATTTGGGATAGATTCAGTGGTTTATCTGGACTACCACCACAAATAAACACAAAACACTCCACAAAGATAAAGGTGGGGGCCATCTGCTGCACCCTCAAAGGAGCCCAGACCATCAGAGTGATCACAAACACACGGGCATCTCTTCATTAGAGCTCTGGCATTGCCACACCAGGCTCGTGATTCAACCACACCAGCGCTGCCAAAACACTCCATGAGATCCCATCAGGACCCTCCCCTCATGCTCCTACCCTCACCCTGGATCCACAGTGCTGCTCAGACCCTATTTTCATGGAAAACTGAGAGGTGGCAACGGGGCAGGAGAGGGAAAGAGGTGGTGCTCGTACCTGGTAGAAGTTTGGGGAATAGAAGGAAGGACGTGAGCAATAGGAAGCAGACTTACCTCACCTTTCAGAGCCTGATGAGACTTGCATAGAGATCTGTGTGATTTATTTCGCCATCCCTTTTTAGATGCTGAGCACCCAGTGGCAGCCAAGAGCRGATGTAAAAGCGCAGATCATGAGTGTGGATACGTGGAACTCTTAYGCTCTCTGGAAAACTTTATTAAAATGACAACCTAGAACTCTGTTCTGCCCCGGTAATTCCCACCATCTGGAAATTCCATTCCATGCTTAGAGATAAATCTCCAAAGCCCATGTGCCCAGTACTGCCAGGTGCTGTCATTGACAGTGGTGGGGAATCTGTCCACTTTTTATTGTCTGTAATATATAATTTATTATCCAAAACATCGCTTCGGCCATAAAATTTTCACTACAGCCTATTYTGTAATAAATCATTTGTATAGTAAGTCGCACTTCCCAAATTGCAAATTTACCCTATATGCTTCTCTTTTTTTTGTGAATGTATTCATTATTCAGAATTATCAGGTGTATAATGTGAGATCTAATTCTTTGTTCCTATCTTATAGGATAGTTGAAGTAAAAATAATTTTGTTGTCAAATTATGGCACAGGTTATATTTCTGGCCCATAACTGTATTTTCAAACTCAAGTTCTTGAAGCTGGGCATCTAAGGCTGTATTTAAGCATAAAATGAAAATTTGTTTGGGCAAAGTGCTATCCATCTACTTTTCTGTCATTTTTCAGGAAAGACAAAGCATTTAGGAGGAAGGATTTCTAAGAATAATATTTTAAAATTTCCATGCGTTTCAGCAGCTCTTCAAATAACAGATGATTATTGTTATTACTACTACCACGAGGTCTCGGTAATCTCATAATATCCATGTCAAGCTATTTCTCGTTGCCAGAATTTGCATCTTCGATCTGGGCTAAAAAAAAAAAAAAAATCATTAAGGTAATAACCACGTGCTCAGCCTGCACATTCTGGTGCCTCTGGCCCTTGCTGTACKTGTGCTGGTAGATAACCCAGCTCCCAAAAGCTGACTCCCCTTTATCTTTATGTGACGCTGGCCTGCAAAGTTCAAGGTAAGGCCATTGTGTCTTGAGTCTATTTTTATTGTACAAAACACTGGATGGAACTTAATTATTTTTTCCATCTGCCAACCATTTTGACTAATTGAACCCTTTGGAGCCAGGAGTCAAGGTTTCCCAATGTAAGCCAGACCCTGGAACTCGGCATTAGCAGAAATGTTGAAAACTCATGAAGGAATTTTTGGTTCTGAGGTTTGGTTCTGTTTTCCAGAGTCTGACCAGGATTCAGAAGAAACCCAAACCCTCTCTTGCATAYACATTTTTTTTTAGGTTCTCTTAGTGTCTCAGATTTTCCAGGCACTAAAGGTTCCCATTACCAAAACAGAAAAAAAAAAGTAAAAGCTTGAAGGGTATAAGTTAAAGCCACAGTCATATGGAAAGTCCCAGCAAAGGCTCAGACTTCCATTATTTTGGCAAAAGCAGAGCATGCTTGGGCAGCATTAAAAATGAAGCATAACTTAATACTGGAGGGTTTCCTGATAAGTGCTCTGTACTGAAAACCAGATTGTTGACACTTCTGCAGTGTATTTTAATGTGACTTTCAGTGGCATTTTTCCCCTTACAAGGGTAACTTCTGTAGCCCATAAATTCAATTCCATATTCTATTTGTTTGATGACCCATAAATAAATTTCCAACTGCAATAAAATTTCACCCCTGATTTTAGCTCAAATTATGAAATTTTTTGGGATTAACGACTCTTCCAGCAGTGGGAGATCCCCATGACTGACAGCAAGAGGCCCCATTTTCCAGCAGTGACTTGCAATATAACCCTGGTGAGATCAGGTATTTAAAGTCTAAATGGGAGGCTTCTCCCTCTTGGTTTCAGCTCTGTTTTTGCCTTGATTTAGCACTTTYCACAACATGATGTAATTAAGGTGGCATTTCCATGCTGATAACTCCAGCTTCGTTCATCTCAGGCTCTTTCTGCTGCTGCTGTTTGTCTCCCCAGCAGTTCCTCAGCTTGCCACCAGCATTAATGATGTGCCACTGGAGGTGCTTCACCCTTTTCCTGTCTTCACAGCCTTTAGGAAGCAGAAGTTTCAATGCTTCATGGTCTTTAGGAAGCAGAAGTTTCAATGGCTTCCACCACCAAGGTTGTTCCCTCTGACAGAAAAGTCATTTTACAGCGTGGCTGTGATACGTTGGAGACTCTTTGCAGAAATCAGGGATCTGTCTGAAATTCTACACTGGAGGGAAATGAAAATTTTTAATAGATCTGGGTCTTAGTTCCGCTAATTTCAGTGGTTCGTTTCGCTGTTCTGGCAGTCAGGRTCCATTAGTGGAACAGAAGGAGAARCATGTATAATGCATGTAGAGCAACCACATTCTAATCTCAAATTTCTTTTTTTCTTTTAAGTTCTTATTTTTTTTTAAATAAATATATAATGAGTTACTGACAGTACTTAACAATATCTTATACTAGACACTGTAATACCCCAAATAAATACTTAATTTCTGCTTTCCTGCAACTTCACTAGGATTACATCATGTCAGATTACTCTAAGTCTGCTTTAACCCAGTTTGAAAACACTAGTTATTCAAAGATACTTACAATTCYTAATTTCATTCCTTGAAATACCTTTTCTTTTGGTTCCTTTATACAGTTTTTCAAGCCTGTGAAGGCCKCAGAGTTGTTAAGTCAGAGCAAGCCTGCAAGTGAGGAAGCTGGCAAAGCAGAAATGCTGTTTCAGCTCACAACAGAGCTCCCTCCCTTCCTCTCCCACTCGTTCTGCTGGGCAGGGAGATCACARAATCACAGAATGGTTTGGGTTARAAGGGACCTTCAGGATTATCCAGTTCCATGCCCCCATGCCACCCACCAKCTCAGGCTGCTCAGGGATCCATCCAACCCGTACCTAATTCAACCTTCAGACACTCTGACAAGGCAGCAAACATTCCAGAGGTTTTTGTGATGTAAAAAAGCATCTAAGGAGAACGTGAATTCCATCCCACAGGGGCCTCACCATGAGGTGTGGTTTTGATCTATTGGCCTGCTTGTAGATCAGGACCACTGAGTTAGGAGGGAGGTGTGCACTGCCTTCCTCCACCCAGAGAAGTCATTAACATATGCTCCCTACCATGAATTAAATTAGTCTAGATTCTCCTGACGATGCAAATAAACTCATGAAGCACAGCTCTACAGGGCTGCAAACGAACCCATTTGAAAAGACTTTTGCAGCTTTTGTTTATCATTCCATATGATAAACAGCTACCTCCCCAAATTATCAGGAAAAGAAATTTTAAACATTCAGCAAATAACAAAAAATGTGTTTTAATGATAAATAAAAAGTCACAAAGCTCAGCATGTTTTGCTGAGAGCCATTAATGAGGGAAGATTGTGAGGCCTGTAAATTTACCTTCCCTTTTGTTAACACTTTTTTCCATCTGCAATCCATACACTTGAACAAAATATAGGTTCCTTAYATAAAATTTAGAGAGAAACACCTAGATTTTGATGCCCATTGTCTTTCAATTGCTGCCTGATCTCTTGCTGAAGTCTTCTGTAAAGCTGAAGTGACTGAATTCCTAATCCCACTATGTTTCTCTGAAAATCAGCACCATAATGATGACATTAATTATTGTTGCCTTTGACTTTCCTTCCTTTGAAAATATCAGCTTAAAAACCAACTATTAAAATAGCCTTCCTGTSGTAGGAAGCACCTTATCTTGTACTTTCGTGTCCCTGTAACATCTGCATATAATGCTCTGAACTTTGCTGCTGCTCCCAATTAAAAGCAAAACAAAAAACAACAAARAAAAAAAAACTTGATAATACTTTGTTGAAAAKGGACTTAAACAATATCCTGCTTGTTACAGAAAACCCAACACGATGTGTTCCTTTGGTGTAGGAAATAGGATGCAGTCTTGGGGCACAACAAAGCCCACCCTTCCCTTCCCTCTGCCTTCTGGTCCCATCCCTGTGCTCACAGAACTTGTTTTCTGTTTGATTATCCAAATTGGAGATACTGCTATCTCCTCAGTTCCCAGAAATTTCTGGTAATCTTAAGGCCTATGTTGCAGTGTGCATTTGGAAATGCTCTCTCATCCTTTTGTGCTCTTAAAATGTATTTGAATGGCTTGGTTATAAAAGTCTTTAGTGTCTTCTGTAACAAAGCTTGAAAACTCTTTATTTGGTTGCACCTGTCAATGAGATTTTAAATGATTTGGGAATTGCCTTATCTTGGATGTGTGTTTCAGGTCTCTATAGCAGACGTGTCTGAATTCAGCTTTTACTGTGGGTTAACTGAATAAATAAATTTATTCCACCCTGTCCCATCACCAAAACCCAAACTGTCAAGAGAATGGGTTTTATGAAAGCCAGTATCCAAACTGCATCCAGTCTAAAAATACACAAGTGATAAAAAAAAAGTAATTGAATGTAGCTAAAATGATATTGTTTGTGTATGCAGAGCTCCCTTTGCCTGAACCAGCAGTGCTGCACTGACAGGAAGCTCCCTGCGAGCCCTCCCACCCCAGCCTGGGAGATGTGAGATGTGACATTCCAGTGGGACACCGAGCCCCAAAACTGCCAGACAACAGAAGATGATGACCAGATTGMTACAAACAAGGCAAGACACCACCATAAAGCCTCTGGAAACAAGACAGCACTCAGGAGAAACCTGTCCCACTCACATTCTCACGTTTAACCRTGGCCACTTGGCTGTTTGCAGTATTTTGTGCAGGCAAAAAGGCAATAAAAAAAGAGGATGATCACAGGCAGGGTCGGTGCTGCTGATTGAGGAATTGCAGAGCCACTCACAGGACTGCCCTGGCCCCAGACACAGCAGTGGGTGTGTTCCCAGAGAAGCTTCTGCTGGGGGAGACACTGYGGGGTTCGATGGTGGGATGAACGTTTTTCATCCCCAAATGGGTGTTGGCTCCTGCCGAAGGGTGTCTCAATCTCTTCCCAAGAAAGACACTGCCAGTTCTTCTCTGTGATTTGGCATGATCATCTGTCTCTCTTCCAGAGAAAACTGCTGCCCTGCCTCCACCCTTCCATGTGATAGGGGAGGCTTAGCAACCACATGTAGACCTCAGTGACAGATGTGAGGTGAGGAGCTCTGTCCAGGATCTAAATAAGGGAAAAATAAAGGTTCTTTGTCAAGCTGCTGCAGACATGGAGTGTGAAATGCCTAAATGAACTTTTAAAAAATACTTTTAAAAGAGCAAGCAGAAAGAATCTCTGAGATTTTTCAGATTTTAAATAAAGAACGGTTCATTTGGACATGAATTATTAAAAAAACCAAACAAACAATAAATTAAGGGTTTAGCTGAAAACTCATGGGGTCAATTATTGCTTGAAAGCATTGGTTCAGRTGTCCCATCTTCAATGGGGAAATGATCAGACCCCATTGAAGGGCAATCAGGACTCCCATTCAGAAAGGAAYATTATGAACAGAGTAATTTCTGTCTGAATTTCAGACTTCTGGACACTGACCTCAGAAAAATCCTGGCAAGTGTTTTCTCAATTACTATATTCACAAAAACCTTCAAAAGGTTTTTTTCTTTTTAAATTCCTCAATTATTTGCAAATAGATGACATTTAGCTGCATATCACTTAAATTCATAATCCTCTTAAAAACATGTGGTCTTGATTTGGCACCATTATTTTCCATTTGATGCAATTCTGTGACTCTATATCAGATAATTGCATATTTTATTTGCCTTGCATATTGAACTGAGGTCTGGGTGCTGCTCTCCCASCCCAGTTACTCCAGACTAATGAACAGCAAGCCAAAATATGGGGCTGGAAAACCAAAATCAAGGAGAACAGTAATCAATGGGTGCTCCTATATATTATTTCAAAAAAATAAAATGGTCAGTGCCATGCCCAAATTTTATTTGTTGATACAATTGCCTCATTTGGAACTCCTCGTTTGGAGCTAACTYCAGAAAATGTTTCATCCAAGTACTGAGTGGTATCTTCATCACTTATTATATCTTTCATTTTACACCCACAATTAATATTACTCACAAATGAAAACCCTCAGCTGCCTGTCCGCCTCATTTATCCACTTGATTGATAGCTGATGCAACTATTTTGGAGCTAAAAGAGCGTCTGCATATTTGGAGGCTACTTTAGCTGTCTAATTAGCTTTTTAACTCTRTGTGATGGAGAAATCATCTTCCAGCATGCTCCATCTCCAAATTCTTTCCTAACACATAATTATCGGGTTTGGACCACCTAAACATRGGAGAAGCTGAGAAGTTTTGTGTTCTGCTAGGAAAGGAATATTGAAAATAATGTTAATTAAAGGAAAATGTAACAGGGCGATGAGTTCCTTGCATAGCAAATGCACACTTGCCTCAGTATTAAAATTAGGATAGATACCAAAAGAGTWACCATATTAAAACATATTTTTGAAACATCCAAGACAGCTGTGTCTCTCAGATGGAATGAAGTGGATTCCTTCAGATAATTGTACAAGCACTCCTACCTCTACCTGGRAAAGTTTGTCTTAACTCTTTTCTCCAAAATCAGCAGTGTCTATCAATGYTCAAGGCATGGGGAGAAAAATAAATCTCAACATGCACGCGTGCTCATCTCAGAAAACAACCAGTCCTAAACATACGCTCTAAATTACAGAGGAGCCTCTGCACTTCCCTGAATGAGGAGGGATTTTGGCATRTATTTACACCCTTTCTGAATGGGGGAAAGAGGAAATTATTCAGGGCTTGGTACCACTTATGSTCCACTGGCATAAATGGGAATTAGGCAGCAGAGTTACTGAAAATCCTCCCTGCTCCGAGGGGTGGACACGCTACGGACACGCTTCCGCATGGAGCGCTTGCTCCACATAAACAGGAAACCAGGTTTGCTCTGTCATGAGGGAAAACTCTCCCAGGCCAGTGATTTGTTTCATGACAAAACAAAATTTCCAGGCAGGGACATCTTAGTGGTATCAGCTGTCATGGCTTGGCTTTAAAATCAGGAAACTTCTTTCCACCAGGTCATCACCATCAGGAGGTAGATGGTTAAACGATGGAAGAGTCAGTGAGTGTTTTATTCCACAGATGACCATCCTAGGGGAGATTCAGGAAATGAAGGTACATACACTATAGCAGTACAATCTAGGATAATATCCATCCTTCCTCTGAGGAGGTTTCCCACAATATTTTTTCCTGAGGGCTTACCTCTCCTTATTTAYAGTATATGCCTGGGATAGAAATTCAAAGGAGTACAATCTGGCAGTATATTCARGGTCTTCTAAACTGCTAATCATGAYAKGAAAAAGCAACAGCATCTTAGTTTTTAAATAACACTGGGTTTTCTGCAAAATTATGATTGGTTACATTTTGATTTTCTAGGTTTGTCGCAAATGGAAGTGAATCGGACAACACTCGCCATCATAATTGCTTTCTGTGTSAGGAGGTCTTTTTCAGGCTGGGCTGGCTGCTGCTGTTTTAATCAGAAGGTTGTCTATTTGTATGTTAATAGTTTCATCCTGGTTTATTAGGCTTGTTGATGAAAAAGCAAAAATCAGATGCTTTACTATTTTCAAGCTCCACTATTAATCTGTGATTTTATTTTTTTTGGTGCCAACACAGAACCATTTCAGCATCCTCTGCCTTAAATCCTCTTAATGAAAGCATGAAGAATGACAAAATATTTCCTTTCATAAAGCAGAAGGCTGTGCCAATTCACTTTCAACATGCTCATTCAGTGGAACTGAGGTAAATATGTTGCTCCACAGGTGCTTCTCCTTGCAATAACATACTCCCTAGTAATCCATTAAATTCATCTCATGCTCTGTTTAGTGCCTGCTCTGTGAACTGCCTAGCTGCTTAAGGTCATTGTGATAATAGCACCAGGTTAAACAGCATGGGTGTGTTGAACTCTGACATCCATCCACTTTGGCCACAATACAGATAAGAAACGATGGGCAGCTTTAGAGGTGTAATACCTGCTCAGAGCAACGCGATCTTTTACCCTCTCCACCTCCTTACAAGCCAAAAACCTCGGATTAGAAAAATATCTTGAATCTCAGGACTCCTTAAAATAATTCAGTGTGTTTGGAAACAACAGATCAGCGACTGGGAGTTTTCTGTTTGTTTGCACTTGGTGAAGGAGCCCCAATGATGGGCAGGAGGAGGATGAATGTCCTGGGGGTGGCAGAGGGTGGTACCTGTGCCCAGGTGACCCAAAACAGCCCCACTGCTCTCCTCGTGCCTGGGGATGACCCTGAGAGCCATCACTGCTTTGTTCACAGCATCTTTTCTTTGCAGGTTTAAAAACAAGCTG